ATAGGAAGCGCACAGACTCACTAACACTGGCAGAGCACGCATTCACAAAACCACAGAGAATAAGGTTCTGTGTAATGAGGATGCATGGCTTCTATATATGCCTTTTAAATTTAAGCAACTATTAAATATATTTACATTTAATGATGCACGCTGTATGAAGACATCAACTATTCATTTATCTCCATCTTTTGAAACGCCTAGTCTATAATAGGAGACATGCATCATATTGATCCTAAGGATTAGCATCATTACCAGCAATTGTATCTTGGGTCATTGCACAGCCCGGCTGCAGTATTTATAACTGTGTGTGAAGATGTGTGGGTGCTGTGTGTTTATTTGTTTTTTGTGTGTTGAACCATCTGCATGAGGTTGCCCAGACTCATGGACCACATTCTCGCATGCAGTCTTCTTGCTTGAATGGTTACTGGAAGTGTGGTGTTGCTGTGTTTGACTACGCACTGACCCAGACATACTGTATTCATAATGCACCATTGTTCCACTCCATGTTATAAATGTCACTGAATCTATGGCAAATGAGCAGTAGCTAAATAGAAGAGCAGTAAGGGTACTACTTCATTTTGCACGCTTTGGGGCATGAAAGCCTTATACTTCAGTGCATAATATATATTAAAAAAAAGAAAAAGAAAAAAAAAGTTAATTTGCCGGACCAATTACTGCCTAGTTTGCTTTGTCAAGAGCCAGACCATTACTTAAAATTGATTATCTGTATCACCTTAATTTAGGAGTTTTACCCATGAATAAACCTAGAGAAAAAAATGTCCGTTTTCTCTTCATTGGCTTTCTGTCCAAGCTACTTTTCTTTGATGTTCCCTAACTTGTGAAGACACATATACAAGCATGCACGGAGATGTGCCCAGAGACATATCCACCCACACTCACACTCATAACACACCCATACTTCTAAGGCCTAACTTGTGCACAAACAAATAAATGGTAAAAGCAGAATAGAAAATTCTGGCAAACCCATCTACCCAATTAAGTATGCAGGCTGCACTCTCCCCACCTCAGGGAGAAAGTGTGAAAGTGTGTGTTTACTTATGCCTGTGCGTATTTGTGGTTGTGAGTAAATGCATGAGCAACTTGGTCGGCCCACCGTTGGTCCACCGTGTCATTGTCACATTTTGCCTCGCCTACGCATCAAAAGTACAAAGTTTCTAATTATGCAGTCAAGTTAGCACTAATATGTATGCAATGTTTGGTTTGACTTTCAAAATAAAGCCTTTTGAGAAACTTTTCAGGTGATTTGGTTAGGTTGAGGCACCATGACTACTTTGTTGGATTTAGGAAAAGATCTTGATTATGATCATGGATTTAAAATTAATTATGTTATATAAGTTAAGTTAACTTAATTTATTTATGCAGGTTAAAATAAAATAACTGGAAATTAACCTGAGTGTGCCTGTGTGAAAGTTCTGTGTATGACCCATTTACCCACCCCAATCTTCTCTGTATGCAGACTTTGTCGCTCTTTATAACACGTTGGCCCCTGCTGGTACTGCACCTTCATACATGTGTGTACTTTTCACGTCTAGGCGAGGCAAAACGTGACACTAACACTGTATCCTCTAGTGAATTGGCAGGTGAGACTGGGTTGGCATGTGAAACAGAACATAAGATGTTGGATAAAACATTTCATTTGCAGATTTAAATAAATAAATCAGGAAGTTAAATCAGGAAAAATTTTGATATTAGTGAGTGAAAGTCCAAATTACTGCAGTCCTGATTAGTATGTGCTTGTGTGTCTGCCTCTAAGTACTGTACCACATGTTTGTTTATGACTTCCCCCATTGGACCCATGGGTAGGCAGGGCTTGATCCAACAGCAAAGAGATTAACAAATCAAACAAGCATGTGGATTCTAACCCAAATTAAGAAAAAAAGATTATTTAAAAAAAGTCAATCACATCAAGTTTATTAAACACTTTTATGTCTCTTTGCTACCGCCCCCACATTCCCAGTCTACTTGAATTTGGTGTGATCCCATTCAGGCAGTCCCTGGAGTACCCCTACATCCCTCCAGAACCACGTCAGAAAACATCAGAGGAGTGAGGGAAAAAATGATAAATATAAAATAATAAACGGAACATAACACAGCAACCAATATTCCATCAAAGGAACGGCTGAGGATATTAATATCGACACTGAATGGAAAATGAGGCACTTAGACATACAAATCGCGTTGGCACATTTGCATAAAAACAAGATTAGCATATGCACCGACAGGGAAGGAAAATGTTCCTCTCGCTTCCCTCTTTTTTTTTTTTTAGGGGGTTTGAGACGCATCAGTAAACACCGTCTGACTCCTACATCACATGTGAAAGTGTATGTGCGCTAAAAATGTGCACAATGACATTTACTTCATAGAAAACTCACAGAAATTCACAAAACTCTCACCCAGACGTACGGAAATGCAAACAGAACATCCCAATTGTGTAACACACTTGCGGTGCACACTGAATTGCACTTAAGTAACTAATGACACTCAAACAACAAAGTACAGAGCTAAAACAACAGCTCCCCCTTATGCCAGCACACAAAACAAACAATAAAAACTACACATTAACATTTCAAACACATCTTGTGCACGCGGATACAATGACCCCGATGGTTGCTGCTTCCTATATAAAGTTCTTCTCCCACTTACTTTTAAGCTGCTAGTAGAAAGGCCATGTCCAATAATGGGGCTCTAAAGCCCAATGACTGCACCCCATGATGTGACACTGACATTTAAACAGTAGTGGCCCCACTTTTGCTTTGAGTTATCTGTCCCCAGAGAAGTTATGGGCCCTGATTTTTCATTTCACAGTCTGCCCACAAACGCATCATTGTCATTATTAGAATGGCTGTGTGTGGAGGACATTGGTGCCGTATTCCTGTGATGCACTTGCTTAGGTATCATTGGGTTCAGAGAGGTAAGCCTAGAGACCACGCCACTGTCTGCCAACCAGAATAGAAGGCCAATGTTTTCTTCCTCTCGGGCAGTGATGCAGACAATGCAGCCTTTTTTTAATATGTTTCTTACACAGGCCCACGGTCAGTCCCCCATTGCTGTATCATCAGGGGGCCAGGACATCAGTGATCACTCCCTTTGTCATATTCTGGTGCAGACAGCTGGTGAAGTAGATAGTCTAATATCATGTCTGGCATAGATTTGATTCTACTGAGTAGGCAGCAGGATTTCCTTTTGTTACAGTGGAAAAATTGTGTCCTTTGTGTCTGGATGTCTGGTTATAAAACTAAACATGTGAACTGCAGGTAGCTTTGGTGTGGCCCATGTTGGCCCTGTGAAGGGGTTGTTCATCTGCTTTAGAAAGCAGTCTTCCCTGACCCAAACTTTGAAAGGATTGCACCAGGTTCACACTAAAATATGTGAGGCAAGATTTTCCACAAATACCATGTTGTTGCTGCATAGGGATATTCCCTAAAGACAAACTAGCAAAATATTGCAGGAGGGTCAAGGAGGCAGCAGATAGTTATGGACAATGGGGACAAGGCAGCAGTTGGTTACACCACTGGACGACACATCCACTGCAGTTTTACAGAGCGGCACTGAATTTTTTGTCATCCTCTACTGAGCATCAGTAGCGGATTAGGAGAGGGACAGGCCAGACAGGAGGGAGCCAATGCCATCCAGGATTTCACTCCAACTGCAATCAGGGCAATCAAACCAGAGCAGGACAGGCATTGCTTCACAATTTCATCTAGTAAAGACCCACACCAGCAATCAAACTAGAGCAGAACTCACATTATTCAGGGTGAGCTGGTACACAAGTTGCCTCACTGACTTGGTCTGGCTTGATTGTGTTGTGTGTTGCTAAGAAAAAATGGACTCCTCATTTTGCTCCTGCCTTTATGAAAAACTGTATTTAATTGGTTAAATATACTTTGAAGGTGCAAATGGATCTAAAATGAAACGGTAATTCCCCTGAAGCCGAAGTAAAAGCAGCTGTAGCTGTAGTTATCATTTTGAAGGTTTTCTATGTTTATCACTAACTGTTTTATATGTGAACACAGATTCAATTTACCTTCAACAGTTTCTATCTGTGGATATGCGGTAATCTTAGTTTTTATTGTAAATTAAAATATCTTCAGAAGTTTGTCTGCTAATTATGCTTTATTAGATTAGGTTTTTCTATACTACAGTATCTGTATAGGTAGACATTCCTATAGATATAAACAAGACAAGGGAAATGAGAACAGTGCTGGAAGCAAAGAGAAAGAGCAGAGGAGAGCTAAAGATAGAGAAGCCAGGAAGTGTAGACCTCTGAGCTGTGGAAAGTCTAATAGACTTGCTGACATCGAGCTCAGGTGTCATATCTGTCTCTCCGTGTCTTTCCCTCTCTCTCTCACTCTCAGCTGGTCAGTAGTGTGAATTGAAGTGACAAAATGACATTCTCATTCATAGGGGTTTTTTTTTCTTCCTGCTACACCATGGTTAGATTATGTTTTGGCTGAGGAGATCCAATGTGATGTGGGTGATTGTGTGTGAGTGTGCATACCGCCTACCTTCTTCAAAAGTGACAGTGAGTTTCACACTGTCATTATTTTCTCCAGCTTTCTTAACACATTGAAAGACAAAAAAAAATGCTGCAAGGATGACTGAAGTGTTAAGTAGAGAGCCTATGGTTTAAAGCTGCATTTTGACTAGATTTACCTTTAGAATAACAAAGCTACATACTGTAGGCATTATTGTGTATATGTATGTATTGCCGTGGAAAGTGCATTTGGTCATAATTTTGCAACACTGCTAAAGCTTGTTCATTTATTTTCTTGACCTTTTAATCCCTACTTTGGGTCACAAAGGCCAGGAGCTTATCCCAGCATGCACTGTGTGGAGGCAGGCACCCTGGAGAGGTCAGCAGTCTATCAAAAATGAAAAGTCATAGCATGTCCTGCCTCCCCTTGCACGTCTCCTGTGCATCAAAAAAAACTGCACATAGATAAAGATTGAACCCCTCGTCATTATTGCTGTAAACGTACCTGAGCCTGTTATACCAGGTTCACCTGGACAGGAAGCAGTGTTGTTGCACATGCGTGTTTCTCGCAGGGCGCCGCTGCACAGTGTCCCATAGGGAGAGGAAACACATGATCGCGTCCTCACTTGCCAGCCTTGCCCACATGTGAGAGAGCACACACTCCACTGCGACCACTCCTCTGCTGCAGGGTCACCTGGAAAGCCAGAGACAGAGATGGACAGAGGAAAGTTAACTCTCAATGACTCCAGTTTATTTTAAGTCGGATAAAAGACAAATGGTGAAGAGGAGGGGCATGATTAGTTGTAACATGAATACAGCTTTCTGGTTCCCCAGTTTAAAGCAAGTAAAACCAACTACATCCTCAAAAACAATGGGGGATGTGACAGGTGACACACATCAAGTAGCTAGCTTGGTCTTATTAAGTGCTGCAGGGAAAAGTGTTTTTTTTAGTTTCTGTCCACTAAATACATACAAAAACCACATGGTTGATGTGCCTATTGACTCATAAGCAATATATCTGTATCCTAGCAGGCCTACACTAAAGAGTCACAACAAAGAAGTCAGAGTTGCAGGAACTATAAGGGGATATGTATAACAATGAACAAAATGAGCTTTGCTTATTGCTTATTGTTATCTATGATATTCCTGCACAGTATACATGTATGGGTAATATGCGATTTGTATATTTTTGTATATGTCATACGTCAATTGGTTCAAGCTCCTTAATGCGAATTAACCTTGACTGAATATTCATAAGGATGAGGACCCTGCTAAGGAAATGTGTTTTTAGGCAATATAAATATGAATTGAAATATGTTAACACATGTGATCGCACAGCTTTAAGCCAAAAAGGGTGGCTGTAGATGTTAATAAAGTGGTACATACAGTAAGTAGGCAATCATATGTGTGTGTGTGTGTTCTCAGTCTGTAAGTAGCCATAGATTGGTTGTTAGAATCCATCTGAGGGTGATTTTGAGTTCTCTGGGCAGCTGTGGAGTGAGTCCCATTGTTCCCTTTGAGTTACGCCCTTGTGAGCGAAAACTAGAAGTTAAGTCATACCGCTTCTCTCTCCCTAAATTGTTTATGAGCTCCGTGTCCTTTGATGGAGGCGTCATCACATGGCAAAGAAGGAAATCAAATTAATTGCATGTCCGTTAATCGCATTACATCTTCATTAACATGCCGTGAGTCAGGGCTTAAGCTCATCACACATGCCTGGAGGAATGGAAGAATGGGGAGAAGCAAGGAGGGGGAGAAAAGAGGAGAAGGACAAGACAGAGCCAGGGGTTTCCCTTGCGGTATAGGGACTCCCTCCTCCATGCGTTGGTAGCTGTGAATATGGAAACGTGTGTGTGGGGATGCATGTGTGCGCTAGCTCAAATTAGTATATGACCTATTCGGGTGCAGGGAAAGCAGCCAACATGTAATGTCATGTATGTAAAAGGCAGATTTCTCATATAGACATTCTTAATATGTTTAATGCATCATGTCATGAATAATTCAATCTTTCCTTTCCAACCCTATTAATTATGTAAGATTTTAACGTCGCACACTCTCATGAGGCTACTTTTTCACATTTTCACACATGTGAATGGTCAACTACGGCAGCTGCCTCGGGGACTTGCAACACTTCAAAAGGTAAATGTACAATAATTATTTATATGGAACTCTTTCAGTTACACATAAAGGTCAAGTTGGCTACTTTTGTTCCACTGCAGTCACATACATGCTTTCTCTCTCTCTCTCGATCGAGCACACACACACTCACACACAACTCACCTGTTTGTGCCTGAAACACACCTGGCTGGTCAGCTGATCGTGGTCTTTGGGTCTTCACCTTCAGGTCATCGTCATATGGATCTGGAAAAGACAAATAGAATCTTCTTAATTGTTTTTAATTCTCATATAGATTGCATTGTATAGCCCGACATATGAGATCCAGCGAGATGCTGGAGTGTGAGTGTGAGTGTGAAGATTATGCAAATACTGGCAATGTAAGCCCAGTTTGTTTACTACATATAGCATACATATAGCTGGTTTTATAGCTATAGTAAATTAGTGCTCATCAGCACCCACTGCTATTTTGTACATTCAAAGAAGTCAAAAAAGGCAAGTTTTGTAGTACATCCAAAACACGACTCTGGCAAAATAAAAATACAAACGCCTACATTTACTTGGCTTGCTCCGTGTAGCAGAATATTTAAAGAACATGCTGATACATTTCAGCATGCATCGTGCAGAAACAGATAACAGAATGTCAAATCGGCAATATAATCTCAGAAAATCAGGAGGAAGTAAATTCTGCCGGCTCATTGGCTTAGAGGGAAAGCATGAAACGTCAATAAAAATATACATATTGAAATGCAATGTGACAGTATTCGCAATTCAGCAGAGTAAACTAAGTAAGTTAAAAAAGCCTCCATCTAAATATATCAAGAGCATTTGTGAAAACAGAAGGATTGCCTAGAGAGAAAGTATGGAGAAAGTGAAATCATGCAATATATCTAAGTCGGTTTTATCTCAATTGGTACAAACATACGGAGGCATGAGCGCAGACTGTTCTGATCTGTGCAAATGGATTTGTAGGCTTAGTTTCAGCAACACAAGACTTAATCAACTCCCTCTGCAGGAGAAACAATCTTTGATTTAGCTGATTTTTTTCACTTGGATACTTCTTGCCCATGGGATTTTTTTGCAGCGGTTGCATTTGCGCAAAGAAGCTGAGACATACAGCGTATCTAAGGTACATTATCCACATGGGACGTGATTGTGTGTGTGCGTTTACTAGATTACAGAGTGATTACAACATTGATTGACACTGAAATTTTCTCACATTAGCTCCCATCAATTGCCCTCAGGATGTGCAGCACATTCTCCCCTACCTTACAATACACACACACACATATATAAAAGGATGAATGCCTGGGAAGTGTGCTGATTTTCTGTCATGATTGCTCAAATGCCCGTTGCCACCAGCCCTCTAATTTGGCCGTTTACAGAAACAACTCTTTGTCAGGAGAAAAAGAGATGTTTTTTTTTTTTTTTTTAAATCATTTTGCTCTCGCTCTTTCATTCTAACTCCTCTTCCTATCTCCTTCTTTTTGTGCAGTGTTCTCAGCAGGAACACTTGTGCTTTAAGGCTAACGTATAATAATTTACCACAGGAACAATGTAATAATTTTGTTTTTGTGTTGGTTAGATCATATATGCAGCTGACTACAGCCCTGGGTAAAAGAAATAACTACTGTGTGCATGTGTGTGGGCTGTTAGTTTCACTTTGTTTCAAAAACAAACTGAAATTACTAAATGGTGTAACAGCACTCTGGAAGTATTTCAGGAGAAAATAAACAGATTTCAATTGTGCCTCATCGTGAAAAAAAAACATTGTTGCATCTCATGTGCAATCAGACCGAATAGAGAGGTACATGCCAACTGCCCATGGATACAAGTTATAAGTTTCCATTAACCACACTCAGGTCAGCAAAGAGTACAAACACCCACTTGCTTAGCTTACAGTAATATTTTACATGAAAAACATTAAACCTTGTTCCAGGATATAGTGCTCCCAGATTTTGTAACACTGCTGACCCTCCTAAACAATCATTATTCGACAGCTAAAAACACAGCTGACTATGTTACAAACAAAACTTGCGTTTAACTTATGCGAAAAGTGAACTTTCCCCTACCCTGCTACTCTTCCTCTCCAGCTCCTTAATAATCCTCCAAATTCACTGTATGCTCAACCCCTTCCCCAAACAGCAGTTGTCCAATCATAGCTCTAGCAACAGTAACTAGGCGCAGAGGGCCTGTCAAGCTTTGAAATTCCTCCACATGCTGAAGCTTTGAGCATGGGCCTGTAGTAAGAACAAAACTTGGTATCTCAAGAGTTTGGCCTGGAGAAAACTGTAATGAGTGCATTAAAAGGTGTCTTCTTTTCTGCACCACTATAAGCTACCAACAATGGCATACAGACCGCAACCTATAGCATTAATTCCAATGGGTTAGATTGTGGTTAATTAGGTATATAAAGCTAGCTACATAAGTTTGTGTTCTTACAGGTTATGAAAAGAAACCTACCTACCAAAACTGGAAGATACACTGCCTGGGAACCAAAATGATATAGGAGTAAAGACTAACAAAAGCGGCTCTTTCCTGCTCTGTATATAGTTTGGGGGAACTTACATTTTAGTAATTTAGCAAAGCATTAGATAGCATTAGGATTTCTCTTTTTCAGAGTAACATACTTACCTTAGAATGAACAGATCTACCATTTTAATGTCTATAGAGTTCACAAGGTACCCTGCAATACAAGAACAATTCTGCCGCTTTATTTTCTTGTCTTTCACATAGATCCCCAACTGATTTTGATGCATCTAACCATCGTGTGCATTTTTAGGAACCCTATACAGACTTATTTTGCAAACAAAATTGCAAAAATGCATTGTCATTAACAAACGCTGTAGCTACAGATGATAAAATCTGCTTGTGACAGTCACCAGAATCACCGTCATCATCAGCTAACAGAAGTCATGTTGGGTTGAAGTTTAGAAGCCTGCTTTTGATTATTTCTGCGTGAAATCCCATTGCTTCAAAAGTCCCAACACATTTTGAGATGGTACGTTCCTCTTTTCATGAGTGACTAAAGGTGGGGCTTAGCGAAAGGTCAATTCCAAGTTCTCCTTATCCTTTTCAAATTCCTCCTGCTGTTCATGTCTGCTAGGTGGCACAAAGCTTGCCCATGATCCAAGCAAAAAGTGCCGCTAATCCACTGATCCAAGTGAAGTTTGGCAGGTTTGAGATCCAACTGCCTACTGAAGAGGGTACATAAGGAACAGAAATAATAAAATGAAACGACAAGATACCACTGCAACAAGTTTCTAAATTTCACTTGCAACATTTCAGACAATGTATTGATTTATTAAGAGAGCGACAGTGGGAGTGCCAGTCCCAATCTGGGAGTTTCCAAACCATTTTCTAACAGAATTCGGCACAAATAAAGCCCTCTGCGCGGGTGTATATTCTACGCTTCTGTGCTTCTGAGAAGCCAGAGGTCAGCGAAGCAGGACAGAGGAGTAATGTCTCACATAAAATGACCAGTGAGTTCTACCTTTCTCTCTATCTCTTTATGTGTATCTCTTTCTCTGCCCTTTGTTTGTCTCTCTCTCTCTGTTAGGTCTATGGCACAGAAGAGGATTTAGATGGACACCGGTGCGGAGTCCGGCACAATCGAAAGGAAAGATCAATATGGATAAACCCCTTGGAGAGTACTGACCTTTACAAACCCCACTATATTGTTTAATGTTCTAGACTGCAATTTAATGGATACATCATCACACACTTCATCAAATCGTCTCGTCCTCTCTCATCCCTACTTTTTTCCACCCATTTCAGCTCTTTTCTTCATCTCCAGGGGAATCTATTTTCTATCTAGAGCTGGCAGTATCCCTTCCAATCGCGAGCAGGGTCGATAATCCTATGATTGGTCGGGAGCAGAGGTGTATATGTGATATTTTACTTGTAGAACCGCTGATGCAGTGTCAGTGAAGGGAAAACGTGTTTGAGAATCTTCCCTTGACAAATGAAGAGATCACCTGTGTCACAGTTGTAATATAGTCCATTAGAATATAAAGTGATGGGTTATCATAAATCTATTATCGGAATGTGAGGGCATTTGAGTCAAAGCGACTACCCTGAACCTGCCTTTATAGAACTGATGTTGAAAGAACATAAATAAAAAGCTGGAAAGCAGAAACTCATCCCTGTTCTTGTCACCCCATTTCAGCTGTTTCTTCCACTCCCGGAGAACAAGTTAAGGTCAGAAATCTTGTGATTGGTCAAGGGCAATTTACTTTACGTATGGGTGTACAATAATTGGTGAGGAATTTCACACCGACAGCTATAAAAACTTATCAAGGCAATTTCAACACAAACATTGTAATGGACTGGGTAATATGAGATACTGCTAGCTTTTTAGAGATGTTTGTTCAGGTAGAGAGGAAAGGATGAAACCGAATGTTAAGTGCAGATGGTATACCAATACCTATGATACCTATGATACCTATTTAAGATCGTCATACCATGCACATTTGCTTGGTATTGAATTAGAATTTATTAAAAATAACATGATTTTTGAAATTATAATAAAATTATAAAAATTAGTTCAACCAACAACCAACTGTTTGCTAATACATTTTCAGCATCATCATACAGTGACAATCTGTGACATTTTCACACACCTTTGTTTTTTTATCCTATTCCATGTGGCTGAATGACATTAAACAAGTGCAGCCTACTGACACAAGTTCACCAAATGACAAGTCAATGCTGGTCCCACTCTTCGACTGGTTATTTTTTGTGCTCCGCAAAAACATCACACCGGTTCCACGAAGGTTTAAGGATTGCTCGTCATTTGAAGATAACCGCTTGTTAATAACACTTTGTTTGCCTAGTTGGAACCCAACTGCTAAAAATAAAGCCACAGTTCTCAACCAGTCTCATCCACCCTTCGCTCGAGGCTATTTTCTCTCTTTCTTTTCCAACAAAAAAAGTTGATAAAGTAGCATGTAGAAGGACAAAGTCCCATTCATAGCCTGCTGAGCGCCATCACTCAGCAGGCAGAGGCTTTTGTCAGCTTCCTCAACTCAGCGCAATGAGCAGTAAACACACACAAGCATCCGAAAACACACATTAGCGATGACACCAAAGCTCAAATATACCTTGATGTGGCACACACACACGCGCTGAGACAAACACACCTACACAATAGAAAGTAAATATGGCTGATAAATAAACGTCATGCAGTAAAGCGGTTTTGAGCCCGTACAAAGCAGGAGGCTGGGGAAGGGGATTGGGGCAGAGCC